AGCCAGATCAGGAGCTGAGTCCCGTACCATGCCCCTGGGCCTCCTGCACCCCAAGGCCAACCGGGCTGGGAGGACCCAGTGAAACAGGAAGATGTTACTGGAGCGGAAACGCTGAGGGTGTTGTCTGTGCTTCCACGTCTGCTCTGCGGCCTGCCCTGGACACGCTGGGCAGCCCTGGCTGGGGTGTGCCCAACTGGTCTGTCCCTAGTCCTGGACACCTGGGCTCAACTCCATGTCCCAGCTGGGGCTGCTGCTCCCCCATGGCTCCAAACGCTGGAAGCGCCCCGCGGCCCCGAGTGGGAGGGGAACCCAGGCTATAGGGTCGTGAGCCACCCCACATCCCAGCCTGGGCCGGTGCCTGGGCCCAGTATTGCATGGACATCGAGGACCAGGACATGGCTGCCTCGCAGGACCGAGGGGGGCACACGGTCCACAGGCCTGAGCCACAGCACCTGTGTGGCCCTGGGCAGCCTCACAGGTGAGGGCGGGGTAGGAGCCAGGCTCTGAGGGGGAGGGCAGCCCTACAGGGAAGCGGGAGACACAGCCAGCCGCTGGTCCACCAGAGTGGAGCCTGGTGCAGATGGGGAGGCCACGACTCTGGGCCAAGTAGGCTGGGCCGTGGTGCGGCTGTCAGCCTGCTGCAGGCCTCCAGGCCACTGGACTCCCAGAAGGTGGTGAGGACAGGCTGCCGTCCCCGGGGAGGAGTCCCTGAGAGCACCACCTCGTGCCTCGTGGCAGCCGAGTGGGATCCGGGATTTCAGGAAGATGTTTTTACTGGAGACCACGTTGGAGGCTGAGGGCCATGCAGTGGGGGGCTCCCCAGCTGTGCCTAGTTCATCCCTCTGAGACAGGGGTCACACTGGCAGATGGGGCAGTGGGCACACGTGCCACACGGACACGGGTCACTGCAGTGTGAGGACAGCCTGAGGGGAGGGCAGGCCTGGGCCGTGGCAGGCACCCTAGAGGACACCACATGCAAACACGTAGGGCTCCTGCCATGCATGGAGAGATGCATGAACACAGACTCCCCATGCGCTGGCATGTGCCTGCCTGTGTGTGCACAGGGGCCCTCCTGGAGGCATGTGGGGAGCCTGTGAGGTTCTCTCGGAGCTCTCCCCAGAGAGCAGAGGGCACTGGCCAGGCCAGATGGGTGCTCCCCTCACCCACCCAGGCCTGGGGCTGAGCAGCTGGGCCCCCCACCGAGGTGTGCCTGCACCCAGCTCAGCGGTGGCTGTCCTGAGCAGAGCCCAATGGAGGGGGAGGCCCACCTGTGACCCGTGGACACCTCCAGATGTCCTGTGGGGGTCTGTGGTTGGTCCACCTCCCACTGGGCAGCATGGGGCCACAGGCAGGTAGGGCTCCCGGACCCAGCTGGGGCTGGAGCTAGGGCTGACACCCCAGGCCTCCCTCCTGCAACACAGGCCTTGCGGCAGCTCCTGGCCAAACCTGCTGTGTGTGCCCTGTGGGGCTGGTGAGGGCTGCGAGGGGCAGTTGCAGGCCTACCCAGCAAGGGTGGGAACTGCTCTGCACTCCCCGGCAGGCCACACTGGGGTCCAGTCTGGACCTGGGGATGCTGAACATCCTGGTGGTCACATGGAGCCTGCCCCCAAGGCAGGTAGATGGGGCAGGACACCCTCCTGGAGACGACCAGGGGACACCCATGTGAGTGGGGTTTCTGCGAGGATGTCCTTGTGGCAGCCTGCCCTGCATCCTCCCTCCCTGCTCTGATCTGAGGCCGCCAGGCCCACTCCACTCTAGGCTCATGTGCTGCGGGGGCCACAGTTGGCCTTCCATTCCCATCCTCCACCCACCACTGCTTGTGACCTACTCCTAGGGCCTCTGGGACATGAGGACAGGTGCCCGGGGGGTCTCTGGCCCTCTGCCACCCCTGTGGGGTCCCCAGTGAGCTGCAGGAGGAGCTATGCACCCTTGCTGAGCTTGCTCTGGGGTTGGCCCTGCCCCTGCTCAAGGGCAGGCATCCTTGGGGAGGGCCTGAGACACATGCCAAGGCTGCAGTTAGCACTGCCCTGAGAGGAGCCCAGCTCAGGAAGCCATTGTCCCCACACAACAGCCCATGGCTGGGACCTGTGAGGCTGAGGCCCCACCCTGACCTTGGGTTTGCTCACCGATACCCCTAATACCAGCCTGGTGGGCCTTGGCAGGCAGCCCAGTATTGCTGCAGGCTGCCCCGGCAGTCAGTCCCGCAGAGCTGGGGCCTGCGCCTCCCTGGAGCCCAGGCTGTGAGGTTGGGGCAGAAGCCTGGGTGCCAGTGGCAGCACTTCACAGTAGAGCGGGGCCCTGTGCCGGGCCATGCCGGCCGCACTCCCCCACTGGAGGTCGCCCAGCAGTGATGCCATCTGCCAGGGACCTGCCGTGGTGGGCCTGGGAGATGCTGGCCTGGCCACCTGGCACAGCTCTGGGCGGCCACATGTGTGTATGCTGCATCCCAGGTGGGGACGTGGGAATAGGTGTCCCAGTTCCCATCTCAGCCCCTCTTCTGTGGTTCCTGGACTACAGCTAGGGGCGTGGGGCTGCTGCCCCTCCCCACACACCCCGTCCTCCTGAGCCCTGTCCTGTCCTGTCCTGTCCCGCCCAAGCCCAGGTGGGACCGGAAATGACACTCTCCTTGCCCTCTGTTCACGAGGCCGCCCGAGGCAAGCCCAGCCCCATGACCCAGCGCTCTCAGTCCTGCGGGGACAGGTGCCTGCCCTGGGTGCTGACGTCCTCACAGGAGATGGGTGTATGGGCAGGTGCAGTCGCACAGGTCGTCAGAGAGGGCACACATGAGCCGGCAGGCCCAGCTAGGGAGGAGGGGCTGGTGGCCAGGGCAGTGGCCCGCTGGTGCTGCTTCCTGGAGCTCCATTCCTGCCAAGGAGGGCCACAGGTAGGAAGGCCAGAGCTACATGGGGGCTCCAGAGGGCTGGGGCCTCAGCAGGGCTGCTATGGCAGGCGGG